TGCTTTTATTCCTTTTCTGGCAACCTTCAAACACAACTTTTACAAATACGTTTCCATTAGTATTTCCCTTAATATTTCAGTGGATTTTTCTCTCCCTGCCCAATTTTAATACGTCTCCATTTCTACTTATTTTTAAGGCCTCTTTTTCATACTCCATCTCTCCAGGAAGTCAAATCTTCCTTTAATCACAGGAGTGGCCTAATCCCTCAGCTCAGCACCTGCGGTACCTCACCTGGCTCAGTGGCACCCTCGTCTGAAAAGTGTGGGGATAGCACCTACCTCACGGGGCTGTGGTCAAGGATAAATGAGATAACGATGGAAGAGGCACTCAGTGAATGGTAGCGTTAATCATCGTTGATAATATTCTTTTCATTAGTATTTAGAGTTTGGAGTTAACAAAATAGGATCATAACTCCTTCGCCTAAACTGTGTTCCCACTGGCCATCTTAATGGAACCTTCTTTCCCCCGCTTAGGATCTGGTGACTTTGAAGTTGCCTGGAATTCCCCCTGACTTGAATTCCACCTGAAGCCTCTCCCAATGGCACCCTATGGAGCTTTCAATAAAACCACCTCTGCTTCCCACCATTAGCAAGACAGGCCAGAGGCTGCTTCTCCGTGAGCTGATTCACACTAACAGATGTCCCATCAGCTCTTTCAGCCTCTATCCGCATCTTCCAACCCTCAACCTTCTCTGCACATATTCAAATTTCATGGAGCCCTGCCCTTTCCTGTAGTTGGCATGCCTGACATCTCATCTTTTCATCAGCATTTTCCAGTCTCTCCACCCGGCAGCCAGGAGCAGGGATCACTCGGAAAACTACCCAAGGCAATTAATGGCATTTTTTCCTTTGCTTAGTGTATATTTTCGAGTGTGTGCTACATGCCAGGCACTTAGGTGCCAGGGCTATTAGGTGACTGGAGATGATTTCTCACCGCAAGGCCTCACCTGGGGAAGGAGAGGAAAATAAGTCCATAAGCCATGCCAGGGCAGCGCGATGCTAACTGGGGTGTGGGCAGGGCACCCCAGCTGGCGAACTCAGACCTCTCATTATTTTAGAGAAATTTCTAGGTTATCACCCCCAATCCCCGCCCCCCATGTTCTATTCCCTTCCCCCGAGGCTCTGTCCCTCCGCTTAGCACAGCTGAGCGCAGATACCCAACAGCCTGGTGTAGGGAACGGCTCCTCATTTGATTACAGGAACCCTCCAGAGAGGCTGCAGTGTAGAAACCACTCCTTTCTGGCAGGATCCAGACTTCAGAGTTGAGGGATTTAGCAGCAAGTCCGAGGCGGTTTTTTAAAGAACCGCCGTCACACACACCCCTTTCGCCCCCCGTGTTGCATAGGACACCCTCCAGTTTTTCCACACGGAACATACGCAGTCTGCCCTCCGGTAACAGTTGTTTGAAGCATCTCAGATGGTGCGGCTGCATGCGGCCACGTTGCCAGCTGTAGCCCGGCTCCAGGTGTTCTCCCTCCGGCCAGTCACTGCCTCACTCAGTCCCAGGAAGCCACCCGTGTGCCCGCTGGCGCCCGGCGCTTGTCTGCTGTCCCTCCTGGAAACAGTAACACAGGCCTCCCTGTTCGCAGCGGCCTCGACGGCTCCCAAATGGAGCCAGTGAGGGCCAGGCGAGCGCCCCTCGCCCCGATTCTCTCCTCGACCCATCAGGGAGGGTGCTGTGTGCTGCCAGCATCGTCAGAGAACAGACTGGTTTTCTCGCTAAATTCGGTTTTCCTCTGTTAGAGGCTCATCCTTCGGGTCTGAGGAATATTCTGGATTGTGAAAATAGTGCTGTCGCCAACGAGACAGGGAATTACTGGAGGCCGTGGAGGGTTCGTTACGCCGCTGTTTCTCTTCTTCGTGGTCCCAGCGCTTGATACAGCGCGGGGCTCACGGGGACGCTCACCCCGGCTGGCGGGGCGTTTGGTGGGCGAGAGTTCTGGAAGCCGCGAGAACCGGGCCGGCCTGGCTGCCGTTAGCCGTGCGGCCCTGGGCAACGTGCTTGCTCACGGGACGTCCTCGTGGTAGCATGAGGGTTTATTCAGTCCTTGACAAACATTTATTAAAGGCTTAGTGGAGCTGGCAGGTAAAAGCTAGTAAAAATAAATCAGATGATTTTCGAGAAGGTGGATGAAGGCGGCGGCGGCCATTTGGGCGTCATCAGTGTAGAGTTGGCATTTGAACCGCGGGGGGGAGGAGATTATTGGGTGAGAGAGAGAGAGAGTCCGCAGAGAAGAGGCGCAGGCCCAGCCTGGGTGCAACCCCTCTCCCGCCCCGACACCCCGGAAGTCAGGGAGGAGGGAGGAGGGTACCGGGGTCCGGGAGGCGGCCCTGGGCTCTGAGCTTCCTTCTTCCACAGAGATGCGCACCCAGCTCTCAGGCTCATTTACCAACGCGTGTACAACAGTCACAAAGGAGAGCGTGAAAACCCTTACATGGAAGCGTTTCTCCGCAAGCCTACATTGTTAGTGGGAATTTCGTCAGCCAAGAAAAAGTTGTCTGTAAGACAAATTTCCCAATGGAAACTGCTTCCAGCTCAGGGCTGCCAGAGAGCCAGGTGTTCGCACCCATTCTGAGACAGCACTAGTTTTCTCCGAAGCCCCCCCAGACCCCGTGCCCAAGGGTCTCATGTGCCCCATCTGTTGCTTTCATTCCTTAGCAGCTCAGGAAAGCACGTTATCTCAGCTTAGCTAATAGTAAACTTTCTAAGCTAAAAATACAGCTACCACCTGCCCCCATAGAAATGATTACCGGAAGCCATAAGACCTTGGTACTTGGCCTGGGGGGGATCCACAGTGTTAATTCTGCCTCCCAAGCCCTGATGTCTCCTCTGCTGGTGGGCGAGTCTCACTTTAATTAGGAGGCTCAGTCCGCCACGTGCTTGGCATCTGGAGATCAGCTTTCACAGCTGGAACCAGAGGTGCCAACCTAACCTGGGCTTCCCCAGCCTCCACTTGTCATTCTCACTTTCCACAGGCGTGTGTTAAGAAGAAAAGAGGTTTCTTGACAGCCTCAAAGTCTTTGGAAAATTCCGCTGATTCTGATTTCTTTTTTATTTTTGCCTGTTTCATATAGACCTCTCCATTATACAGCCTGTGTAGATCAGTGACTTGGGGAAATGAGGTTGTTTTTGCGCAGGGATTAACTTTTCCAGCTGTGTGGGGTTGGTAACACATGTTAACGTGTCACTCACACAGACACACCAATGGGAGTTGTTTTCCTTTGAATGTCAGCATCTTATAGGCCATCAGGTTGTCACCAGGCTGGTGAGCTCTGAAATTTCTCTCTGGCTGTCCTCTGCTCAGACTGGCTGCTGCCTGTTGATGTCATTTGCAGACAACGGTGGATCTTACAGTTCCTCTGCCACCACTGTCTCCAGGCGTCCTCGTGCCCTTTTCAAGAAATAAGCTTGCACTAGACATAAAATATGAGATGAGTGGTGTGTGATAGGTGACCAGAAAGAAAGGAAACACTGCCTTGCATAACTTTATGATGTTTTGTTTACAGAGTCACACCTCACAGAGGCCTCTCTGTGTGTTTTCAAAGCACATGTAGACAGATAAGATGTGAAAATTGGGTAAAAACTAAGTTTGGATAAGAGCCCAAGTGAAGGGGGCTTCCCTGGTGGCACAGTGGTTGAGAGTCCGCCTGCCGATGCAGGGGACACGGGTTCGTGCCCCGGTCCGGGAAGATCCCACATGCCGCGGAATGGCTGGGCCCGTGAGTCATGGCCGCTGAGCCTGTGCGTCCGGGGCCTGTGCTCCGCAACGGGAGAGGACACAACAGTAAGAGGCCCGCGTACAGAAAAAAAAAAAAAAAAAAAGAGCCCAAGTGAAAAAGGGTGGCATTTTCCTCCCCGACCTGCGGCAGGCAGTCTGCTGTGAGTGGGTGTGTTAGAACGACAGTCTCGATAGGCCTTCTGAATAGATCAGCTGAAGAGTAGAGAAGCACTTAGCTATTGCTTGCAAGGGGAAGAACAAATGTCCTGCAGACTTTGTGTGAAATCCCCAAGGTGAGACGACACAGGTTTGGGATAACAGTATAAAAATGCCCGAAGCCAGTGCTCAGTCATTTACCAAGTGCTCAAGGCAGCCTGTGCATTGAGAAGACAGAATCAGCCCCGAGAAAGACCTGGCCTCAATGCTAGTTCCACTGCCTCTGAGCTGTATGGCCCCTGCAGGCAGTCTCCCTTCTAGGCCTCAGTTTGCTCATCTGTAAAATAGGGCAGCAGCATCATTTTCCTCATAGGAATGTTTCAGGGCCAAATGTATTGATGTACGTGACATCTCTTGAGAAACCTTACAGCACCACATACTGTTTTTTTTAAAATACTTTCCCAGACGGTATTTAGCCTCACAAGACTCTATACAGTATCCTTGTCTTACAGGTAAGGAAGCTGAGAATTGTGGACTAAAAGATCAGGCATATTGCATTATTTGTAGATCATAGATCATTTTTAAAATGCTATCAATTCTACGACTATTGAAATAGCAGAGACATTTTTTAGAAAACGGCTATAACTGGGATGGGAGAACAAGGGATTGTCCCTCTGTCCTGTCCCAGGCCCCTAGCGGCCTCTGTCTTGGCCACTTACCATGAAAGATGGTCAATCAGTACCACACACCCATGAAAGACTGAGCCCCAGCCCAGCCCAGCCCAGCCCAGCAATTACCATCAAGAGTGTTGGTACCATCTTAAGGGAAGATTGTTCTGTGAACCAAAGAGCTTTCTTGTACAAAAGAGGGAAATCTTTGCTTTTCTATTGTAATGAGAATAGAATGCACACGTTTTGTTTTTTCAAACAGCTAAGCCCTGTTGAAAGAATAATTATGTTCTTGAAATGTCTTAACGGTAAGCATTTCTCTGAGTGGTGAATTTGGAAGTACGTACATACAATGATACCATTTTGTATATTATTAGACTATGGGGGGGAGCTCCCTCAAGTAAAAAGACGTTTTATTAATTGATTTCCATTTTCTTTTTTCTGCCTCTCATTTCAGAACGATTTGATCACCACTGTCCCTGGGTAGGCAACTGTGTGGGGAAAAGAAACTACAGATTTTTTTATATGTTTATTTTATCTCTGTCTTTTCTGACAGTCTTTATATTTGCATTCGTTATCACCCACGTCATTCTTCGTAAGTATGCTGGCGAAATCAGATTACGTATGTAACCATTTGCCTGACTTTAGTTTTCTGATTTAATTTTGATTTAATATTTTGGTCATTCCGGGCTCTCTCTTTCTTCTCTTTCCCCTTCTCCCTAGCCCCCTCCTCGCTTCCAGCCTGCCTTTTGTTTCTCACCTCCCTCCCAGCCTTGTCACCCTGCCTCTCTCCCTCCCACCCCCCATCCCCATCCTTCCCACAGCAGTTGCCAGGGGCACCCCTGGATCAGACTCTTTCACTTACAAGACCTTCTCCTTGATACATGGTCCCTATTCCACCCTCGTGACTTCACTTTCTCTTCTGCTAATGGATCCCCAGGAAAAATTACTCCCATGTTTTCACAAAGGATAATGTGCTGTAATGATACCCATTGAACAACAGAGCTTTTTTTTATTTTTAATGTGATATCTACTTAAGCAGGAATAGTCACCCTCCCTAAAAAAAAAAAATGGGGATAAAGACTGAGCTTTCTTACACACATATCTATAAATGTTAAAGATGTATGTTTGATAAGATGTTTAATTACCTGCCAGAACATTGGCAAGCTACCCCTGGCATATGAAGGAAGCGACTTTATTAAAAATGAAGTGTGGATATACATGACTTTAATATATATTTGCCTAAGCAAATGGCATTTTTCATTACCCTTCCTAAGGTCATAATTTTGAATTTCTTCCATCTCCTGGCCTCTCACTCTCCTGTAATAGGGAGTGATGAGAAGGAAGCCACTTGGCTTTGACCTATAAACGTGAGCCTTAAACTTCCATTACAGTTCCATTAGCAATGTTAAAGACCAGCATGGCCTCTGTCCACATTCCTGAAGTACACCCACCCCTTAGCGAGTACAGAGCCTCCCTCTGGAGTGTTTCCGGAAGTATCTGGACACACACCTCACTTGCTTCCCTGCAGCAGTGCTGAAAGCACAGTGTGCCGTGCTGAACTTAGACCTGCGCATTCTCCCCGCTGCTCTCTTGGTGGGGTTTGTACGGGGGCTGGGGGAAGTGGACGGTATGGAAAGTTTAACATTAGTTCTTTTTAACTATTGGTCCATTTTGGACATGAATGGCCTATCCCAAATTTTCTTAGGCATTTAAAATCCTAGTTCCCATTCTTTCTGACTGAAATCCTTTGATCTGAACGTGACACAAATTTGTAATACATGATTGAGAGCCATAACTTGGTGGGATGGGAAGAAGAGGATTAACGTTGATCAGAGACCCCTTCCACACCACCTGGGAAGGATGCCGCAGCGCCCTGCCGAGGCACCTGTTCTATTTTCAGAGTCTCAAGATGGCAAAAGTGTAACTAGGGTCCTATGTATGTGTTAATAGACAGTAGAAGCAATTGCTTACACAGCTAGAGAAGACAGTAGTACTGATATTCCAGCATATTCATGGCACTGAAAAATAGTCTTTAACATCCTTTAGCGACTTCAAAATGCCTGTCTATCTATCTGTCTATAGTCACATTCATTTTTGGCCTTGCCCCTACGTTCCGGATATCAAGCAGTTTTCACCTGCTCAGCCTCGCACATAAGCTCTGGGAACACAAACACACGCGCACACACGCACACGCACACACAGAGGCACACACAGCGACGCCTGCCACCACAGTGGCATTTTCATCTCCTCTAAAGTTTTACTCACCCTGGTTTCGGCAAAATGGAGCTTTTGCTGTAGTTTATGCTGAGGTACTGGTAATCCGGTCTTCCACAAAGAAAGCATTCTGAACTTACCTGCCTGCAAGTGACCCGACTGTTTCGGACAGAAGCAGATGAAGGTTTTCCTCTCCCCTGCTTCTGCATCCTCACTACAGCCCCCACTGAACAAGCCCGCCTGACCCCCGATTTGCTCTCGGGAAGGGCAAGAGGTTTTACGAGGCTCCGTGATCCCCCTAAGATTCTGGAAGCCTTGGCAAAGGCAGAGAGCAGCGGGGGGACTGTCCCCTGAGTCCTCCCTGCCGGGAAGTGGGCTCTGAGAGGGGACACAGGACAGCGAGGGGTGGCCGGGGAGGAAGCCCGGGGTCACAGAGATTGCTGGGAAGGTGACATCTGGAAGCAGAGTCTGGGAAAGCGATGCAATTTGGGTTCAGTAGGGAAAGAGAAATCATTTCTTTTCGTCCCTCCTTTTGCTTCAAGATTGTGTTTGCTCTAAGATCTGTCCACGTGCTGGCTTCACCCTCCTGGCCTAGCAGGGATGGAAGAGAACACCTTTTCTCGTTAGCTCTCCCACCGGTTGGCATCCTAGCAAACGGCACATCCTCGTGCTCCCGCGGTGGCCAGTGGGCACAGAGGGGATGGGAGCTCGAGGAAGAACTGGAGCAGTCCCAGCCTTAGCCTCCCAGTAGCCAGCCTGGCCTCCAGTTACACAGAGGAGTCTGGGGCCCTGCCTCTCTCTCCCACATTGCAACCTCACCAGCAGACAAGGCCACAGAATGCTCTAGAACCAGTCCCATGGCATCCGTCCTCCCCGCTTATCTCACAGCCGCCCCAGGGCCAGATTATGTCCCCAAAACACATGGACCCAGCCTCGCCACCCCAAGGTGGGACCACCAAGAGCTCCTCCATGGGGGCTTTTCTTTTTAAAAAGCATTTAACACCAATACATAAAATAAAAATCGCTTCTTGTCAGATGCATCTTTATTCAGGCCCCTGAAGAAATGTTTTCTTGTGCAGACAGTTCATATTAATATGTCTCAAACCCAGAAGGAATCAGTCATAAACTTCAGCTTTGTGAGTTTGTTTACTCTGGGATGCAGAGAAAGACATCTTTTATGCGTAGCCTAGTTTACAAGATACCCAGGGTCAAAAGTTAACAAACTTTGGGAAAACAGTGTTTCATAAAAGAAGAGAAAAAAATAGCATACAGTATTCTGTTTTCCCATTCAAATGAGGAAAACAAAGGAGTAATCAGAACTATAATTTACGGGAAAGTATGCAGGCATCCATCTGCTTTTATTGAAGAAATATCCTGCAGATGTCGGGTCAGCTTATGAATCTGCCACTTTCTAGTTGAATAACTTCGGTGGAATCTCAATCTCTGATCAGTGCACTGGGTTCTGCAGAACGACAAAATGTAATTATTTAATCGCTCTTTAGACACCTATTATTTTTATGTAGATGAGAGAGCTTTCAGCCTGAAGGCTGTTTTCTGGAGGTGATGTCTGAATACTAAATTCTGCTTTCCTTCCCACAGGTTCACAGCAAGCAGGATTCCTAAATGCTCTTAAGGACAGTCCTGCAAGATATCCTTTCTGGCTGTTGTTTTTTACAATGCTAACGTGTTAAGTATTGGACTGGCCACATCTACCCAATAACCTCTTCATCTGGTGCCTTGGCTTTCCTTTTCATAAATCGTGTTCCCTTTTCTTCTGTGAAGTATCCAAAGAACTCCCGAACACTCACTTGTGTGAGTAACAGCCTCTGAATGCTTGAACGTCGAAGTGACTCATTTAGCCTTGTTTAAATTGAAGTGCTCTTTCACTAGAAAACTAAGTGTGAATTCTTGCTCACCCCCAGAAACCCACACTGATTTGCGTTACAGCAGGTTGGTCTGGGGAGAAGTCAGACTGAGTTCCAACTGGCTACACTTTGATCAGCGGGTGGTCCCTACGGAATATTTGCGGACGCTCCTGGGTGGGTCCCGTCTTGGTGCAGTTGCCATGTGGGGATCCTCAGACCCTCTGTGTTCATGGGCAGCACAGAATTTTGGCGGCTACTACAGATTCTGTAGTCAGCTGCTCATCTCTTAAAGAGGCACAGGGACAGATGAAGATGTACAGAGGCTCTTGGAGAGTACATTTCACAGGTATGTCCTGTCTTCTGTTAATGATCTGAGAAGCTAGAGTTAGCTAGAAGTTGGCCAGAAGGAAAGGTTGTGCTGGGAATGAAATTCTCAGCATCGGTGGCTGCTAAAAGCAGGTCCCATGGGAAATGCCTCCTTCGTTTCCCTCCCCAACCCTGCCGGGGTAACCATCCTCCACCATCATCGCTTCTCTGTGTCCTTCGGTTTTCAAGGCATGTTGCTTTGGCATAGCTTACAGCCAAGCCTTGTCTTTTCTTCCCTGAAGAAGAGGCTCGTCTAAGTCTTTCAGGAAATCAGTTCCATCATGAAAACATGCTAGTCTTGTTAAGTTTTATGAATGCAGCTCAGAACCGGCACTGAGGTCTGGGCTGCCAGCTGGAATGCTTTCTGAAGCCTCAAGAGTGTGGCAGGCTCAGCCATCTCCCCTCCCCGGTCCCAGGCACCTGTGCCTTTCCTGAGGCCATGGGCCCGTGCTGGACGATGTGTGGCGATGGATGCGACGGGCAGCTCTGCCAGGACGTCCTCTAGAGCACGCGTCTGCTCGTGCTCCTGGCTTGGCTGTGCTTATAGTCTCTGTAATCAATAGCATTGCGCTCCCCAGTGAGGGGAGTAGACAGACGCTGCTGAGAGGAGTGACAGTGTGTTTCAGCGGTGTGCAAACTGTGCTGTTCGTGTGGAAAGCGGACGAAGGAGAGAAATGCTCTTATTTGGTTCAGAGCAAATTTTAACTTATCTTCCCTTGAAATAGCATTCTCAGGTAGAGGTAAAGAGTTTCTCCTGGGCTTCCCTGGTGGCGCAGTGGTTGAGAGTCCGCCTGCCGATGCAGGGGACGCGGGTTCGTGCCCCGGTCCGGGAGGATCCCACATGCCGCGGAGCGGCTGGGCCCGTGAGCCATGGCCACTGAGCCTGCGCGTCCGGAGCCTGTGCTCCGCAACGGGAGAGGCCGCAACAGTGCGAGGCCCGCGTAGTTTCTCCTATGGCGCGGTTCTTGAAAGCTCCTGAGAATCTCAGCCACTGCCTTTCCAAACAGTGCCGCCATATCTGGGGCTGAGCCTCTCAGCCAACAGCCAGGCATTTCCCCTTTACAGGTGTTACCCAGGCGTGTCCTGCACATTCAGAAGCTTGGCAGCTGCAGCTGTGGCAACACAACCTGCTCTGAGCACGTGGCAGGCCCCTGACAGCCTCCAGACACGGCTGCAGGGCACCCCGGCACATCCGGCCCAGGGCCTTCCCCAGCACGGCTCTGGCACGTGCCGGCTGTATTAGCTTCCTGTTGCTGTTGTAACAAATAGCCACAAGAAAAGAGGCTTAAAGCCACATAAATTCATTATCACCCGGTTCTGCAGGTCAGAAGTCCAGTAGGCTCGGCTGATTTCTTCTCTGGGTCCCAGGCTGAAACCAAGGTGTTGCCAGCCTGGATTCTTACCTGAAGTCTCAGGGGAGAATCCTCTTCCGGCTCATTCAGGTAGTTGACTCAACTCATGGGGTGTAGGGCTGAGGGCCCCTCTCCTTGCTCTGTTCCCTGACTCCTCCCTTTCTCTTCAAGGCCAGCAACAGGGGATCAGATCCCTCTGACGCTCTGAGTCCCCCCTGCCTCTAACGCTCATCTCTCTGCCCTCAGCCAGAAAGTCTCTCTGCTTCTGAAGAGTGGCCGCATCCAGACCATTCAGGAAAATCTCCCCATCTCAAGACCAATGACCTTCGATCTACAGACTCCCCTTTGCCATGTGGATAATGTGTTCACAGCTGCTAGGGATTAGGGCATCTTTGGGGAGGCCATTGTCCTGTCAACCCCACAGGCCTTCAGGTAGGATGTACCCAGGAATCAGGCACTCAGGTGCAGGTGGGTTTGAGAGGATCTGTCTCTGAACCCATCCAGGAAGCTCACTAGACGTCACCAGATCACTTCTTGAGTTGACTGTGAATTCCCTCCCTTCCCTTTCTGCCCTTTCTGTTAATCTAGGAGAGAGGGGATGGGAGACAAAAATGGATGGGCTTTAAAATATATATATATATATACACACACACATAAATATACACACACATATATATGTATATGTGTGTATGTGTATATACACATACATGTATGCACATATATGTGTATATATGTGTGTGTGTATACATACACATATAGAAGAATACACACATACACACACACATATATCTCCTGCCCTGAGTTCAGGTTGAAAATGCTAACGGAATGCCCCCTGAGGTCCTTGTTGAATTAGACGACCCTTCACAGTTTAATAGGTGAAGTTATTATCTAACTTTACTCCTGCTGACTGGGTCCCCACTTGGTTTTGTGGCACCTCCTGATCCAGTGTCAGGCTGGGCTCCTGCCTGGAAAAAGGTGACCTAAAGCTGAAGCCAGAATATCCCAGGGAGCTGCCCAGCAACATAGAGACCCTCTGATAAAACCACTCCATTTCTCTCTCGGAGAAAAACAGAACCAAGAGCAAGGCGCGGGAGGAACGTGAAGAAAAGCTGCCGATAGGGAGGGAGGAGCGACACTCCCAACCCGGATCTTCTTTATTTATTTTTGGAAGTAGTGGAGAATTTCAGGAATGCCAGACGCACCCGTAGGAAAGCAAAGTGCTGGGGGTTTTGTTGTTGTTGTTGTTGTTGTTTGCGGTACGCGGGCCTCTCACTGTTGTGGCCTCTCCCGTTGCGGAGCACAGGCTCCGGACGCGCCGGCTCAGCGGCCATGGCTCACAGGCCCAGCCGCTCCGCGGCATGTGGGATCTTCCCGGATCGGGGCACGAACCCGTGTCCCCTGCATCGGCAGGCGGGACTCTCAACCAGTGCGCCACCAGGGAAGCCCAGTGCTGGGTTTTTAATTACAAAGCACAGAAACATTCTGTGTGTGCCTCTCCCCAGTCGCTGGTGTGAAGACCTAAGGCAGTCTGTTCTGGCCACGTGTTTTCTGTTTAAATACATGCTTTGGGGAAGATGCCCTCTTATTGAGTGAGTCTATTAAGAAGTGCTGAGTTCTGATGCTTTATCATAAATTCATATTCCAGAAGAAAAAGTATGCTTTAGTTTCTACTGGGTTGTGATGTATTTTTGAAAAAAGGAGTTCTGATTATAAGGGATAACATATGCGTGATAAGTAAGGTTGGGTCCCGTCAGGATGCTATTTCTGGCTCCTGCTTTTCCTCTGGACACCCGTGTGGCTTTGGAGGCTCCATGGAGATAGCCGGGTGGAAACTTCTAAGGGGCGGCTTTTAGCTCCCGAGATGGGTGCGCTAACCACGGAGGCTGCTCAGGAATGGTATGGCCTGGGGAGGACGGGTCACAGGGACAGTGGCACTCCGAAAGAGGATGCATCCTGCTGGTTAGGGTGGGAGGAGATTCTAGCATCAGATAAACATTAAACTCAGTAGCTCTAAGCTCCCTTCTGCTGCTGAGGCCCTAAGAGTCTGGGAGTCTCTTTTGAGGTGGTCGATTTATGATGGATGAGACTGATCTGTGATGTTTCACACTCACAGAAGCCGTCCTCTGATGATGGCAGCGCTGCCCACGGCTCGTCCGCTCCGGACCTGCAGTCTGTGCAAGAATCTGCAAAGTACCAAGTTCTTAAAACAAGAGGAGGTTTTCTGGCTGAATTGCCCGAGCCCAGGAAAGTCCAGGGCAGCCTTTGCAAGTGACCCCTGCAGAGTGTTCTCGGGCAAGAAAATATATTTAAAATGCTTCAGTAGCCTCCAATCTGATCTCCTGACAATAATACAAAAATATTTTGATGACAAATGGGGGCACAGGCAAAGGTTTCTCACCGTGGATTTAATCTGCAAAATATCCAACTCAAAAAGGTGTGGTTGATGAAATGAGAGCGGTTAGAAACAAAAATGCCTCATTAGCCAGGACTCCTTATCAGAAATACTGCCATGAATGATGGGAACATTGCTAAAGTAAAAAGCTCTTCATCAGGCCCGCATGCAACCAGTAGGGCTTTATAGGAGAAAGGCATCAACCAGCTCATTCAGGAAGTGAGCCAGGTGTCCAGGGGACGGTGTCTAGTTCCAGCATGAAAGAGTTTGAGGAGGATTGAGTGTTAGCTCTTCTCTAAATGTTTGATACAATCGCCTGTGACCAGCCATCTGGTCCTGGACTTCTGTTTGTTGGAAGATTTTTAATCACAGTTTCAATTTCATTACTTGTGATTGGTCTGTTCATATTTTCTATGTCTTCCTGGTTCAGTCTTAGAAGGTTGTACCTTTCTAAGAATTTGTCCATTTCTTTCAGGTTGTCCATTTCGTTGGCATAGAGTTGCTTGTAGTAGTCTCTCATGATCTTTTGTATTTCTGCAGTGTCGGTTGTAACTTCTTTTTCATTTCTAATTTTATTGATCTGAGTCCTCTCCCTTTTTTTCTTGATGAGTCTGGCTAAAGGCTTATCAATTTTGTTTATCTTCTCAAAGAACCAGCTTTTAGCTTCATTGAT